CCCTACACACCACATGGCTATAATGTACATGCACACACAGGCATCAGCATGCAGCTGCATTCTCTGCTCTCCACTAAACAGACATGGGAGTGCAGGTGTCCCTGTGTTGGGTCACACTGTGTGGCAATGCAACAGCTCAGGCATGGAGGGTGCCAAAGATCAGACTATATTTGGATCAAAAACTATATCTCGGACTGCATCTGGAAACAAGGTAATCCAATGCAGATGGACTCTGCTGTCTGTAAGAAACTGGTGACACACTGGGCATGGTATTCTTGATTAGAGGTAGAGCTCAAGTTATTTTCAAGTGTAGCCCTGTGATGAGCTAATGAACAGTGAGGTCATGCTGTTGAGGACCATATTCACAGTGAGAACAGAAGAAAGAAATTCTGATGACTGATCCACGTAGACCAGGTTGTGATGCTGTAACATCTGCCTAATTCAGAGTATGAGCTAGAATGGACCTTTCTTAAATACAGTTGCCAAGTGAAGGTGTATTAATATGTCAGGCAGAATTTCTGTGATATGGTGAAATGCTCTACAGTGTTTATGCTGAGACCATGACATTAATTTCTGCTGCTCATCAAAGTGAAATTTGACTCTACCTTCGCAGTAGCCTCTCTATTTACATAACTTCACCATAACAATTACCTTCCTCTTGGAATATAAGGTATTAATGAATAGAAAGAGCCATGAAGCTACCTTGACCAGTTCCATCATGTCTTTGACAAACCCATCTACTTCTGGGCCTTCAAGTGCTCCTGTTTTACTCTGAAAGATGGAAGAAACATCAAAATGCTCCAGTAAGTCAAAAACACAACAACGTTTACTGGTCAGTAGGTCCACCTGGTCACTAAGCTTTATAGCATAAAGAGTATAGAATCCTAGAATGGTTTGGGTTGGAAGGGACCTTAAAGATCATCTAGTGCAACCCCCCCCCGCCATGGGCAGGAACACCTTCCACTAGATCCGGTTGCTCAAAGCCCTGTCCAACCTGGCCTTGAACAGTTCTGGGTAGAGGGCATCCAGAACTTCTCTGGGCAACCTGTTCCACTGTCTCACCACCCTCACAGTGAAGAATTTCTTCATAATATCTAATATCTAAGATGCCTGCCTTTTTCCCAAACCATCTCTTCTCCTCAAACGGGAGCAACATCTGCCACCATTTTGTGAGGCTTGCTGGCCACCACCCTGAGGGTGTTGTGTGACTGTTCAGAAGTGGCACTGAATCGCTGATTTCTAACAGGCAGTTAGGTGGTCATGTCTGTCCTAGGCCAGACTCCATAGATAACCCTTGGTTCAGTGCTAGTAGGGGTTTTATTTTCCTAGGTGGTGGTGATGCAGGTCCCAAACTTCCAGAGACTGCGAGAGCTAAAGACACCACCTCCTCCACATTCCTTGCATCTCCTGCAGGGTGATAGTGCTAACGCAGCAGCACTGGCCGTGGCGATGGAGAAAGTCAAAATGGGTCCTTTGCCATGGGGTCTCTGAGCATCGCGCCCCTCTGTCCCCAGCTTACCCCCCCAGCCTAGTGCCTGGGCCCCTCTGGCCCATGGGCTCGGGCACAGCTGCAGCTCCTGAGTGACCCCCACAGCATCCACTGGGAGGAAGAAGTCTGAGCAGCGTGTGTTAAATCTGTGTCATTTAAAGACTGCAAGGGAACAGCCTCTGGGACTCACAACGTCGTAGTGTGCAAAGATCTTCTCAAAATCTCTCCTCCTTTCTTCTGTGCTGCAAGCCTATATGTAGACAGGACAAGCAAATGAAAAAGAAAAAAATAAATAGATTCAAGTTTGGGCCCAGGTTATCTTAGCTGAGAGAGACGGGATCGATGCATCAAAAAATAGTGCTACTTACATCCATCTTAAATTGAAGAAGGAAATTTTCCTGCAGTGCCAGAATCCTGAATGGAGAGATTTAAATTACGATCTTGCCCCTTTATCATCTGCACACAAACTATTCCAAATTCTTCCGGTTCGTAAAGCAAAGAGATTTTAGATTATAGGCCTTTGAAAAAAGAAAATCGCCTGCGGGGTTATTTACGGAGGGCTGTTACATGAACACATGCCTCCCTGCCTGTCTGATGGGGAATGGCGGGCGCCCTTTGGCTCACCGCAAATGTGTTTCTTAGCACCATTGCTTCTCCCAGAAGCATTTCTGGTGGTCCAGCGCGATGGAGGTGGTCAGCCTCCGAAGCGAGAGCTACCAGACAATCATTCCTCGTAACTGGATTGCTGTGCTGCATTAAAGGAAAGTAATTTATTGCTCTCTGTTGGAGGGAGAATTGGTGGTTGTAAAAGTAAAGGACAAAGTAACACTGGCCTGAGCACCAAGACTGGCCAAATTCCTCTCCTTTCCCCTCCTCCCTCCCAAAGCCCCTCAAAGCACTGATGAAAGCTTTTCTCCAGATTCTTTGCTCACCCGGAGGTTTTTAGAGCCTGCGACACCGGGTGTGCTGAGCTGTGTCTGCACACTGAAGGGTTTGGGGGGTGAGGGATGTGCTCCGACCAGAGGGGAGCCTCAGCTGGCATGGGGCAAGGGGGCAGTAGGGGAACCGTATTTAAAAGGAAAATACAAGAGCAACCCCCTTCAGATATTCTCTGTTCTGCCTCTGTTTATATATTCAGTGGTCAAAGCGAACTGCCACATGCGCTGCAGTTATTTGTGCTGGCGTCCGTCGTGATCCCAAGCAGAAAGTAGCAGTCGCAAACCAGTACCTCTCTCCTCTCATCCCCCAAACCAGTGTTTTAAGACTGTACCTGCACGTTTAAAGTCCCATCCAGTCATTGCACATACATCTACAGACAGAGGCATACTCTCTATCTGTAGGCAGTGAAAATCATATAAAAGCCTCTGAGGTACCAAGGACAAAAAAGAGACAGAGGCCCATGACTAAGTCCCCAGCTTCATTCACAGGTGTCTTCACCTTGTCTCTCCAAATCCTTTCTTACTGCCATTGGCAAGCTCCTTTGCAGCGGCACCTTTATGCCTCAAACAAGCAGCAAAAATTTTTGCAATCCCTGCTGCTCATGAGGATGTGAAGTAAATGCACACCTGTGACCCTGCTGAAGGGGATTGTCATCCTTCTTTTGGAGAAATGGTGCCACTGGCTGCTTCATCACCTCCCAAGGAGCATCGCAGAGGTAGCACGGATCATGCCAGAGCGTGTTGGTGAGGCACAAACAGGTCCTGGCATTGCTCAGGGTCACCAGCTCTAGGTTCTCAGACTATTGCAATGGGGATCATGCATTAGAGACCTGGGATACCTGCATCCGAGTACCTGATTTAATTTGAAAGGAGGTAGGAGTCAAATGTACGTCCCCAGAGGGAGATCATCACCTTGCCTGGATCTGCCACTGCAAGCTGAAAAACCCCATCAATATTATTAAAGCCTACCTTGCCAGGTCGTTCAGGTCCAGTCGACCATCTTTGTTTTTGTCAAAGATTTTCATCTAAAAATCAAGACAGAGATAAAATAGGCCTTGAGGAGAACACACATACAAAAAAGCCAATATACATTTTGCTCTGCCCTGTGCCCTCACCTCTGCTTGCTCAGGATGCTTGCCCAAACCCCAGGCAGCATGGCGTCCCCTGCTAGCACCAAGTGCAAGGGTGGCACAGGAGCATAGCAAAACCCTCCAGCTTTCTGGCAGCAACAACCCAAGCAATCAAATACCAGCACCGCTCCCTTCCCGCCTTACACAGGGATAAAGACAGGTCTCCAGCAAATGCCTTAAGAAACTAAATACTGGCCTTGCCATGGCCCCTGAAAAAAATGCCAAAAAAAAGGGGGAAACACTAAATGCTTCCAGCCTGACTCCATCCTTATCTTTGACTGTTGCTGTGGCTACTGAGTGGCTGAGGTGCAAATGTCACCTTCTGAAAGACACTCAAGTTGGGGTTTTACACCGCTAAAGCCAGTGGGCTTTGCTTGGCTCAAAGCCTGCTGTCAGAAAGCACTTGGAAGGAGATTCAGGCTGCCAACGTCAAGAGGTTAAGCTGTGTGAATACAAAAGTTAGCCTTTCCTTAATATTACCTTTTCCTTAATATTATCTTTTCAATGAGTCACCACCAGATACTATTTATTTATTTATTTATTGTACATGGCACTGTGCTTCTCTGCAAGGCACAAA